GAGTTTTAGTATTACAATGGTTCTTGAGTGGTTGTTCTGCTGTGGCTAACATGATTTTGGTGTGTTTTCAATCGATATATATGAAATTCACTATCCACAACCCACCTCATAATCATGATCATGTTCAGGAGACAGTAGAACTTGCTTTTGCAGTTATGTACTTTTCTTTTGTTTGTTTTTTTTTTTTTTGCCAAATCGTTAGAGAATATTATAAATCAAAAGGGTACAAATGTCCGAATACAAGCAGCCAACGGCTGAAAAATGAGAGCACATGTCAGAAGACCGCCTAGATTCCCAACTAGCAACGCTAGAATAAAAACTCCCAACACAAACCAACATTGCAAACAACTAAGACAACTAAAAAGACCGCAAATACATAACGGATTTAATTTGGTGTGTTTAATTTGTTTAACGGGTTTTCAAATAAATAAAATGTGACTTTTGGTCAACAACAAACAATGTTAGGGCAAAGATGTTCATGTGATTCAGTTTCTTGTTTGATACAACTACCAATATGAGAATATCATTATGCTTGACGATCGCTCATTCTATAGTATGACTCATTCGTATTGACCAAACAAAGAAACCTGATGTGTGTTTTCACCAACGGGGCTACCCGAGGGATGACCTTATGATTTTGTTATTTTTAGTATTTTTACGACATACTAACAAATGACAATAACAAAATAATGAAAATGGTATTAACTGGAAAGTTAAAGTATGTGCACTGCGATTTTATTATATGGACCGACGCTACCAGACGACTTTTATACAAGAATCTTTAAATGGCAAACAAATCGTATAAGGAAAGCTTAGGAGAGAAAGGGACTTTAATCTAACAAAGAATGTAGGACTCTGGTGGAAGAAAGCTTGTTCTTATAAAGCCTCCGCGACGAGGAAGGTGAGTTGAACGGCAGCGATTGCTCAGAGGTGGGAATACTGGCGATGGATCGACCAATACTGCTCTCTTCGCCAGAAATTGCAGGTATGCGATTGAAATAATTTTTGTTTTTAAAAAAACGAAGAAGATGGGAACAGAGGAGATCAACTTTTCTCTTCAAGGCTGCTGGAACTCATCTGGCGAGTTATATGCGAGAGATAAGGGTGTAGAACGTGCGATCTTGCGAGAGATTTCACCCAAAAGAATGGCAACGATATTTTTGAACGAGGAGGACTTGGTCGTCGCGGAAGGAAAGAGCAAACTATCTGATCAGGTATTACGCACGTGAAAATGATCCATTATGGGCTAAGATGATCTATATGGATTCATTAAGGATTTGGGCCAAGGATAAATATCTCAACTTGGGCCAAAAATTAATAAAGAGTTGGGCCAAGAAATTAATTACATTGGGCTGGAAATAGAATGGCAAAAGGCCAATGAATTAAATCGCTTCGAGCCGAAATAAAATATACGCGATAATAAGAAATCCCGAGATATTCGATCGACGGCGTGTAATAAATTAATCCGGATGATACATATACATATTACACACAATAATTATTTATTTAATTATAATATAAAATTTATACAATTAGTATTAATAATAGTAATATTACTAATAACATCAAATAATAGCAAATTGACATTTAACAACTACAACAACAACAATAATAATAATAATAATAAAGACAATTAATAATAGCAATAGTCAATAATTATTCCCAAATAATCCACAATAAAACGGGGTATTACACCGTGGACCACCGTTCTTAGCCGCTGGGTCCCGTCGAAACCCGCCGGAGTGTCGAGCATAGCCGTTGAGTCCCGTCGTGTTCCGTCGGAGGGCCAAATAAAGTCGGCTAGTCCCGGCGTATTTTTTTCCCGCTGCTCAAGAAGTTCAGGCCTCCTGCAGTCGAGAGTCCCGGCGTGTACCCGCAGTCGCTGCCGTCATCTTCCTCGTGAGTCTCTTCCCGTGTCCGTTGCGACGTCCCTGCAGGCTCGTTCATCGAACTCGTGAGCCAACGGACCGTCGTGCGCACCCTGACGAGCCGTCACCAGCCCTCGCGTGATCGTCGTCTCATTACCATACACGCGCTTCAGTTGTTGCGAGCCTTCCCGTTGTTGTCCCGCGTGCGTCCCAGCGACTTCACAGCAGCGCACCCGCGAGCCCGAGACCCCGTTCCCGCGTCTTCTCGTGTCGTTTCGCATTTTGTGGTATATGATGGCTTATACCAATCTTTTTCTTTTTGTGTTGTGATATATACTACGTGATTAATTTCTGATCAGATTATGTGTTTAAAGTGCTTATCATGATGAATCTTGATAGGTATATATGATTTGTTGAGGAGTTAGAATGGTATATAAATCATCATGTTGCCGTTGCTACGGTTTATTTCTGAAACTGAAGTGGACTTGTATATTTGTGGAAAATCCTGGAGTTTTAGGTACTTGGAGTCGTCTTTGAATTTATTGGTTTTGGTTTGAGGTCGTTTCGATGTGTATCTCATGAGTTATGCATTTTCTAAACTGAGTATGTTGCTGAATCGTAATTAATTCATGATAAATCGTGTGATTGTCCGAATGTCGTGAAATTATATATGTGATCTGCTGTGATGGTATTGTAAGTCATGTAAAATTTTCAAGTCGAAACTCCATCTGTAGCTATTTTAATTAATTAAATCAGTTTCTAGTCAGAATTTTGTAAAATTTATTAAAAATCATACACTTGGAGTTTTAAGCTGAAACTTTGAGAAGTATGTTATTGTGGTATTCTGTGTTGTGTCAAAATTTTCGATTTATGACTTTGGAATCTTTAGAACTTTGGATTGAGAGATGTTTTTTTATGAATAATTTGGATAACCTTGTGATTTATGAAACTGCTAGATTTATGATTTATGATTTATGTAAGTATGATTTATGTTTTATGTGATTTAGTTAGGGTAGCGCCCTTGATTTATGAAAAGGTTTTGAAAAAAAAAAAATTAAGTTGACTTTTTGAAAAGTCATTGACTTTTGTCAAATAAAAGTGGAACATTACATTATCGGAGTGGCCTACTCTCGATCTGTCCTTGCAGTAAATCACCAGGCGTCTAGCCTCTTTCTATGTACCCAAAAAATATAAGCTTAAATATATTCACACGCACACGTTGTAATTAATTTTCCTTCCTTTGGTAAAAGAGCGTAAATATTTTCACACACACGCTGTAATTAAACTCCCACATACATTGGTAAAAAAAAGAAAAAATAATAATAATAAAAAAAAACCTTCCACATACATTTGTCCGCCTTTGCTTGACAAGGTGCCAACTAGTGATGGCAATGGGGAATTCTCCACCGGGTATATTGACTCCCCATACCCATCCCTGCGAGAGAATTTTCTCCCCATGGAGATCCCCATTTATGCTTTCGGGGAGGATTTTCTCCCCATCCCCATTACCCGCAGGGATAAATCCCCATCGAGAATCCCCATACCCGCTAATTGTTATTGATATGTATTTTATTTATACTATGTAGGTGGCATAATATCACATTATATGATTTCAATTTATCACATTACATACATAATATAATATTATGTTTACATATTTAATATATTCTCATGTAATTACATCATCATTCATGTGTATGTATAAATATATTGGAATAACTAGCATGTATACTAGCTTAACGGGTCCCCGCGGGTAAACGGGGACGGGGATTGGTTCCCCATCCCCATACCCGTTTACCCGTCGGGGATGATTTTCTCCCCATTAGCACCCCCATGGAGGAAGATTTCATCCCATCCCCATCCCCTAATAGAGGAATTCCCCACGGGTAATCGGGGATCGGGTCCCCATTGCCATCCCTAGTGCCAACTTTTTCACCTCCCTTTCTACACTACATACCCTTTATTTATTCTTCCACAAAAATTATAAAAACCCAAATAATTTAATGAAATTCCGCATATCTAACATGCTACAGAACTCTGCCTCTTTCTTAGCTTTCTCTTTTTCTCTCTCTACTTTATCTATGGAGGGTCAATAGCTCAGCAAAACAGGCAAAAGGGTTGCGGAAAAGACTTTTCAAGAACACTATCAAAGGTAAAAATATCGAACAACAGGGAACGCAAAGAAAATATGTGCTTTGTTGTCTATAGTTGATTCAACTTTTATCAGTATTTATTTTTTTCTATAATTGTTTTCTTGTTTTTTTCATTTTCCTTTGGGGTGAAAGTCGAAGTCTTTGATGTTTTCGGTCTGTCTATCGTTTGATTTTTTGTTCTAAATTTTGGGTTTTTCGTATGAGTTAATCTTCATCTTGATTGTGTTGCTCAGTTTGTTATTTTTTGGTTATAAAGATCTGATCTTGTTGAAAAATACATGTGTTTTTACAGTTGTAGAAAAGGAAATGAAAAATGTGGAATTAGACTTTAAAAATCTCAGAAACACAATACAATTCCAAGTGGTAGAAACTGATTTATTGTGATCAGTATATTTAATTTCATTGTGATTTGGGAATGATTTTGAATTAAATTTGGTAGAAACTTAATTGATTGTCTCTGTTGATGTCTGTATGAATATTGGTTGAGGAGTATGTTAGACTGTTTGAAATTTTATCTGATCTATTCAGATCTGGTGTTATTTTTTATTTTTTTTATTTTTTTTCCTGATCATAGCTTAATAATATCAGTAATTTTCAGAGCAAATTTCTGGTTAAGCTGATGTGGTTCTTGTGAATATGTTATTTTCCCAAATTTCCTATTGTTTTATTATTATTTGAAAAGTATTTGAAAAATATCTTAAAGTCCATGTAATTTTTTAGACAAATTTCTGTAATCTGTTAGTTCATAGAATGAATCTCTATCTTTGCCCCTGTAGTCAGTTTAGATTTTTATTAAAGCTGGTCGATTTTTCCTTCTTTGCAGGTAAAAGCTACCGGACGGCTTTGCATAGGCTGCCAAATCTCGTGATCCGGCGATGAAATAATTATTGAAATCTAATTACCAAAATCTCTTAAAGTCTTCCGAAAATCCCGTCGATATTTTGTCGGCATCCTCCGTTTGGTGACCGCCTCATAAAAGATGATGATGTTTGAGGACATGGGATTCTGTACCGATTTTGACTTTTTCTCCTCAGCTCCCATTAAGGATCCCGAACCCATGGATCCATTGGGGCCCAGGCCCGAGCCCGAGACCGAGACTATAGCGGAGGACGACTTCACGGATGACGATATAGACGTGGATGAGCTGGAGAGGAGAATGTGGCGCGACAAGATGCGGCTCAAGCGGCTGAAGGAGACGAGTAAAGGGATGAAGGAGGGCCCAGACTCGGCCCGTCAGCGTCAGTCCCAGGAGCAGGCTCGGCGGAAGAAGATGTCACGGGCTCAGGACGGGATCCTCAAGTACATGCTCAAGATGATGGAGGTATGCAAGGCCCAGGGCTTCGTGTATGGGATTATCCCCGAGAAGGGCAAGCCTGTGAGTGGGGCCTCTGACAACCTGCGCGAGTGGTGGAAGGATCGAGTCCGCTTTGATCGCAATGGTCCAGCTGCCATTGCCCGCTACCAGTCCGAGAACGGGCTCGGGGCCAGGGACGAGTCCTCTGGGCCCACGGGCCCCACTCCCCACACGCTGCAGGAGCTCCAGGATACGACCCTCGGCTCCCTCCTCTCGGCTCTCATGCAGCACTGCGACCCCCCGCAAAGGCGTTTCCCTCTCGAGAAGGGATTGTCCCCTCCATGGTGGCCAACGGGCCACGAGGAGTGGTGGGTCCAGCTGGGCCTGCCGGTTGACCAGCAGGGCCCACCGCCCTACAAGAAGCCGCATGACTTGAAGAAGGCTTTCAAGGTTGCGGTGCTGACGGCTGTGATCAAGCACATGTCGCCTGACATTGCCAAGATCCGGAAGCTCGTGAGGCAATCTAAGTGCCTCCAGGACAAGATGACCGCCAAGGAGAGCGCCACCTGGCTTGCTATCATCAACCATGAGGAGAGACTGGCCCGTGAGCTCTACCCCGACAGGGTCCCGTCCCAGAACGAGACCTTTATTTACGACAGCAGCGATTACGATGTTGAGATTGTAGACCAAAAGTCTCTGTTGAGTGTCACAAAAGATGAGGCTGTCAGGAACAACAGCGTGGACTTCTCGAGGAAGAGAAAATCAGGGATGGAGCAGATGAATGGGCGCGGGGTTTACACGTGCATATACCCACGGTGCCCGCACGGGGATATCCGTCACGGCTTTCACGACCGGGCCACGAGGGACAATCATCAGCTCTCATGCCCATATGGTCCGGCAAAGACTTTCAGTCCTGCAAATTTCAACATTGACGAAGTCAAGCCAATAATATTCCCTCAAACTGTTGTCCAGCCAAAACCGACCCCACCTCCGCCGCCGTTCAACCTGTCGGGAGTCGGGGTTACTGAGGACGGGCAAAGGATGATAACGGAGCTTATGTCCATGTATGAAGGAAATTCTCAACCAAACAGAAACGGACCAGTTACGAACCAGCAGCCTCTTAGTCAACTCGCGTGCCAACAGGACGGGTGTATGGGCGGACGAGGGTTTGTTTTCGAGTGTAATAGTTTATTTGAGGACAATAATAGTGATATGGCTACTAGTGCTTCAATG